AACCCATCACTCAGCCCTACATGGCCGTGGCTAAGCTTGACTGCCACACGCACTTCTTATATACACCCTCTCTTCTCCAGACAAGTGCTTTCACTGAGCTTCCTCTGAATGCTTAGAGCATTCTGCCTCCTTTGGATTTCCTACCTGGAAATCCTTTCTTCTTCCTTCACTTGACATTAGCCGTTTTTCCTATGGTCGTTGTTCCCTCCACTCAGTTCCTATCACTCTGCAGTTTGCTGTTTCCTTCACATTTGGCACTTGCGAAACTGTATTGCTGTCTGTATTTTCTATGCCTTGGCACCTCAAGTGGACCATGAGCACTTCAAGAGAGAGACATAGTGTTTCTGTCCACCTTTGTATCCCATCAGCCTAATTAAATAAATTGCAGGAAGGAAGGAAAATGAACAGTTATTGTCTACAGTCGATCAGAGACCTTTATATACTTTTTCTTTTCAATATCTCATTTAATGCTCTAAACCAGGAGGTAACAAGCTATACCCCATGGGTCAGATTCAGCCTGTCTGTTTTTGTAAATAAAATGTATTGTAATAGTGCCACCCCGCTCATTTGCATATTGTCCACGGCTGCTTTTGTGCTACAGTGGCAGAGTTGAGTAGCTGTGACAGAGCCGGTATGGCCAACAAACACTAAAATATTTACTATCTGTCCCTTTAAGAAAAAAATGGTGAATCCCTGGTCTAAGCAACTAGAAGAGGTGAGATCTTTTTCATTCGCTTGTATAGGTGAACAAACAGAGGTTCAGAGAGTTTGAGTGAACTGCTCAAAGTCACACAGAAATTTGAAGTCAGGTCTATATGATTCCAAAATCCATAGGCTTTTCATTTGACCACTGGCTACTGCAAATGTTCGATGATAGTGAGGTTGTCATCTACATTTGAACCCTTGGATTTTTTTTACATTTTTGCAGGAAGTAATCCAGTGGCTGGAAGTAACTGAGATTTTCTTGGCACACGTCAAATCCCTCTGAATGACCATGTTGCTATAATTTTAGAAGACATTCTGTGTGACGTCACTCCACAGCAGTTATGACATGCTACACTAACGACCTCCAGAAGGGCATGACCGCCCTGACGGCAAGGGTCCAGTCTAGTGTTCTCTTATGCCTCTGAGCCTCCGGCATGATCCTGGCATATAATAAACCTCCAACATATATATAAGCAGAATACTAGTTGTGGGAATGACTGTTATTTTGAGAGAGAGAAGTTATTTTCACAACTACCAGATTTCAATAGGAATTAGAATGGGAAAGTTCCCACTGTGGACTCACAGGCCACCCGGGTTAAAATGCCAGTGCCATCACTTACCAGGCATGTGATCTCAGGCAAATTTTTTCCATAAACAGGAATATGTTGCGATTTTGATGTAATGAAATAAGACAAGTAAAGCCCTTACAGCAATTCCTGGTACACAGTAAACAATCAACAAACGTAAGCTACCATTGGCTAAAGTCATTGCATCAGTGCTTAGAAAGGGGAATTCATGTTGAAGAGCCACAAAATCACATAAAGGATAAGGCAGCAAAAACAAACAATAAGTAAGCAAAGGAAGAAGGAGACAAGAGAAAGAGAATGAAGAAGGCAAGAAAGTCCCTCCTTTTTTCATCTCTGCAAAAGGTTTCCAGAAAACATTCTTTATCAATAAATAAATGCACTTACGTTCTCAGGAATACATTCTGCTCTACCAATAAAAATGAGAGGAAGGAAACTTTGACCAACAATAGTTTCAGAAGACAAGCCCCACATATTGGTAGAGAGAGGGGAATAAAAGAGCATGTAAAGCAGCATACTTAATCATATTAATGCACGTCACAGTCAGCAAAGCCAAAATTGGCCCCTCACTGAGATTCAGATCATTACCCTAAAGTCATTCAACGGCTGCCAAGATCCCACATTACGCGAATCAGTTCTACCTGAAATAGCTATTAAAGTTGTAATCATGCCCCATTTGAAGTCTTGACTACATGAATATGATTGAGAGCTTGTTGAATGAGGTAAAATTTGTCTAAGCCTTTTAGGGAGGAAAGGGAGAGACGTGCTGCTGATGGCAGGCATCCATCACTGGGTTACAAACTCCACTCCTTTCAGAAATCCAATACAGAATGAGTCCCTTATGGATTCTTGGACTGTTTTAGAAAACCTTGCATTAAGATGTGATTCCCATTGATTTCCTGTTCTCTTTCTGCTTTAAGTTCAACTATAGAAGTGCATACTCTATCTAAAGTGTTGTTTAAAAGATAAAAAGAAAAAAAGGGGTGGAAGGGACAATGACCCTGGACTCCTTTTTCCTGTAGGTTTCTTTTTCCCCTGGAATATCAAATTATCCTTTCTGCTCATGCCTTACCCATTAGTAACTTGGTTTTATGTATCTTTGAAATGATTTCAAATGACGAAAATGGAAGTTCGTGTTTTATCCAGTTTTATAAAATTCAATTCTTAGAGTTGGGAAGCTCATTTATTCTCTAAAATGGATCAGGAATATTTTGGAGCAGGCTACCAGCAAAAGGAAAGGAGATTTGCCAATATGGCAGCTACTCTGCTGACATAGTATGAGTCTGCACAACAGATCTTGGGGTGCCCCAGAGTGAGGTCAGAGGTGTGGTGCCTGCCTACCCACTTGCTTCTTCTTCAGAAATTGTTCACACAAGTTTCTTCTAGATAAGTCACTGTATTTGTATTGTGAGACCCTATTTCCCTAAGCACCTCAGATGCTAAGGACCTAGTATCGGTGCTTCAGTCAATAGCAAACAGAAGCAAGTTAGGCCTAAGAAAGGCTTGTGGCCCACGATGCACCTGGCCTGAGAACTCTTATCAGTAAGGGTGTTCCCTGTTGGATGTTGTGTGTTGACCTCCTGGGGTCGCAGAGACATTAGGAAGAACAAAAGCAAAACAGTAGGGCTCAGAAACATAGATTCAAAATTAACAGGCACCTTGGCATGAGCAGGGATAGCTCCCTCAGGGACAAATAGGAGTCAATTTAAAGAATGCAAGAGTCCCTGGAGTCAAGAGAAATGGCTCTCATGAGTTCATGCTCTTTACTGTAACTATTGTTTGAAAAATATTTCACAATGCCTCCCTGTTCCCCGGAGTAGTTTTCTTAGTAGGCTGTTTGGGGGTGTTTTATGGTAGTGGTGAGAGGCTGTGCACTTTATTGACTAAGAATTAAAGCAATTTCGAACCCACGCCTCCGAAGAGACTGGAGCCTAAATCCAGCACCTTAGACCGCTCGGCCACGCTACCTGCGCGAATTAAAGCAGTTTCTATAGAAGTGTCTGATACTTGTTCTGGTCAACTGTCCATAACCAATGGACAAAGACAAGTTCACAGAATTTGAAGGAACCACAGTACTTCCCTTTTATTTCTGCTCAATTTGGCTAGTCTTTTAGCATGATCCTGAATAAATTATGCCAAACTGGTGGACAGTTTGAAGGGACAAGTGATGAAAAGTCCTGTGCATCAGTCTCAGTAGGGGAAAGCAGGAAAGGTGGGACAGAGTGGATTTCCTGGGCAGCTTGTCTTTGGCACCTGGAGGGTAAGCTGGTGTTAGAGACTGAATGTGCTCCAACCTCTTGCAGTTTAGAACGTGACTGTATTTAAAGGCAGGCCTTTACAGTGGTGATTAAGTTAAAATGAAGCCGTTAAAGAGGGTCTCAATCCAATATGACTTGTGTCCTTATAAGGAGAGGAAATCTGGACGCACAAAGAGAAACGAGGAATGCACAAACACAGAGGAGTTGGCAGCCACCTGCAGGCCAAGGGGAGGGGTCTCAGAAGAAGCCAAACCTTGGACTTCCAACCTCCAGAATTATGAGAAATAAATTTCTGTTGTTTAAGCCACCCAGTGTGTGGTATTTTGTTACCAGCCCTGGCTGACTAATACAGATGGCATACAGACGGATTCACCTTCTAAGGAGTTTAGTGGGTATAAGATCCAACCTGTGTCATTTGGATGCATGTTAGGGCATGGTAGGAGGGGAGGGTGTTTGCATTTGAGTGCCTAGTGCCTGCGGGCAGTGAGATGGACACCATATACACTCACATTCAACCCTCACAACAGGCTGGTGAAGTGACTTACTCTCCTGCTGTAGATGAAGAAACTGAGGCTTAGCAAGCAAAGAATCATGCCTGAGTTTGCCAAAGAGTGGTCAGGAGTTTCTGGCTCTAAGGCAGACACCAAGTCGTCTCTCAGGAGTCCCCTGACAGGAGGGAAGAGTTTGGTCAAAGCTGAATTCCAGTCAGCTGGTGCAGAAGCCTACGCAAAATTACCAAGGCCAAGAAATCTCAAGGGCTGATTACTGTGACAAAGCAAAGTGGTTTGGTCTCTGAACTTTGAATTGTAATCATGGCTCTGCCACCTACCAGCTGGAAGACCTTAGGTGGTAAGCCTCCATTCTTTTATCTGTGAAATAGTAACACCTTTTAAAGTACCATGTTCAGACTTCATAGGATCGTTGAGAAAATTAGATGCATCAATACATTTCAAATACTTCTCCCACTGTGTATTTAGTCAGTGTTCTTCAGAGACACAGAACCAATAGGCCGCAATCTGTATAGAAAGAGATTTATTTTAAGGAATTGGCTCATGTGATTGTGGATGCCTGGTGAGTACAAAATCTCATAGACGAAGCGAGCAGGCTGGAGACTTGACGAAGAGCTGCAGTCAAGTTGAGGGAGTTTACTGCAGAACCAGGGAGAGCCGATGCAGCAGGTAAAGTCTGAAGGCAGTCTGTTGGAGAATCCTTCTGGCTCAAGAAACATCTGCTTTTCGGTCTTTCAGGCTTTCAACTGATTGGATGAGGACATCCACATTATGGAGAACAATGTGCTTTATTCAAAATCGAAACATTCAAATGTAAATCTCATTCAAGAGCTGCCTCACAGAAACATCCAGAATAACATTTGACCATATATCTGCATACAGTGGCCCAGCCAAAGTAACACATAAAATTCATCATCACACAATGAGTGGCACTTACTAAGACCTCAGTAAATGCTCATTTTATCATGTGTATTAAAGTTTCAAATGATTATCATTCTTTTTTTTTAAACCGTAAGTTCTGGAATACATGTGCAGAACTTGCAGGTTGGTTGCATAGGCAATGTGCAGATTGGTTACATAGGTAAACCTGTGCTATTAGGACAAATAGGTTGGTTACATAGGTAATGTGCAGGTTGATTACATAGGTAAATGTGCTTTTAGGACAAATACCTAATGCATGATGGGTCAATCAATCCATCATCTAGGTTTTTAGACCCGCATGCATTAGGCATTTGTCCTAATGTTCTCTCTTTTCTTGCCCTCCACCCCTGACAGGCCCCAGTGTATGATGTTCCCCTCCCTGTATCCATGTGTTCTCATTATTCAGCTCCTACTTATGAGTGAGAACATGCAGTGTTTGGTTTTCAGTTCCTGTGTTAGTTTGCTGAGAATGACGGTTTCCAGCTTCATCCATGCCCCTGCAAAGGACATGAACTCATTCTTTTTTTATGGCTGCATAGTATTCCATGGTGTATGTGCCACATTTTCTTTATCCAGTCTATCATTGATAGGAATTTGGATTGGTTCCAAGTCTTTGCTATTGTAAATAGTTCTGCAATAAACATGTGTGTGCATGGGACTTTAGAGTAGAATGATTTATACACCTTTCAGTATATACCCAGTAATGAGATTGCTGGGCCAAATGGTATTTCTGGTTCTAGATCCTTGAGGAATCATCACACTGTCTTCCACAATGGTTGAACTAATTTACACTCCTACCAACAGTGTAAAAGCATTCCTATTTCTCCACATCCTCTTGAGCATCTGTTGTTTCCTGACTTTTAAATGATTGCCATTCTAACTGGCATGAGATGGTATCTCATTGTGGTTTTGACGTGCATTTCTCTAATGACCAGTGATGATGAGCTTTTTTTCATATGTTTGTTGACCTCATAAATGTCTTCTTTTTGAAAACTGTCTGTTCATATCCTTTGCCCACTTTTTGATGGGGTTTTTTGTTTTTTTCTCATAAATTTGTTTAAGTTCCTTGTAGATTCTGGGTATTCTTTGTTAGATGGATAGATTGCAAAAATTTTCTCCCATTTGGTAGGTTGCCTGTTCACCTTGATGATACTTTCTTTTGCTGTGCAGAAGCTCTTTAGTTTAGATCCCATTTGTCAATTCTGGCTTTTGTTGCAATTGCTTTTGGTATTTTAGTCATGAAGTCTTTGCCCATGCGTATGGAACTGAATGGTATTGACTAGGTTTTCTTCTAGGGTTTTACAGTTTCAGATTTTACATTTAAGTCTTTAATCCATCTTGAGTTACTTTTTGTATAAGGTATAAGGAAGGAGTCCAATTTCTGTTTTCTGCATATGGCTAGCCAGTTTTCTCAGCACCATTTATTATATAGGGAATCCTTTCCTTTTTGCTGGTTTTTGTCAGGTTTGTCAAAGATCATATGGTTGTAGATGTGTGGCATTATTTCTGAGGCCTCTGTTTTCTCCATTGGTCTATATGTCTGTTTTTGTAGCAGTACCATGCTGTTTTGTTTACTATAACCTTGTAGTATAGTTTGAAGGCAGGTAGCATGATGCCTCCGGCTTTGTTCTTTTTAGAATTGTCTTGGCTATACGGGCTCATTTTTGGTTCCATATGAAATTTAAAGTAGTTTTTTCCTAGTTCTGCAAAGAAAGTCAATGGTAGCGTGATGGGAATAGCAAAATCTGTAAATTACTTCAGGCAGTATGGCCATTTCACAATATTGATTCTTTTTATCCATGAGCATGGAATTTTTTTCCAGTTGCTTGTGTCCTCTTTTATTTTCTTTAGCAGTGGTTTGTAGTTCTCCTTGAAGAGGTTCTTCAAGTCCCTTGTAAGTTGTATTCCTAGGTATTTTATTCTCTTTGTAGCAAGTGTGAATGAGAGTTCACATATGATTTGACTCTGTGCTTGTCTATTTTTGGTGTATAGGAATGCTCGTGATTTTTGTGCATTGACTTTGTATCCCGAAGCTTTGCTGAAGTTGCTTATGAGCTTAAGGAGTTTTGGGGCTGAGACACGGAGTTTTCTAAATATGCAATCATGTCATCTGCAGACAAAGCCAATTTGACTTCCTTTCTTCCTATTTGAATACCTTTTTGTTCTTTCTCTTGCCTGATTGCCCTGGCTAGAACTTCCAATACAATGTTGAATAGGAGTGGTGAGAAAGGGCATCTTGCCTTGTGCTGGTTTTCAAAGGGAATGCTTCCAGCTTTTGCCCATTCAGTATGATATTGACTATGGGTTTGTCATAAATAGCTCTTATTATTTTGATATATGTTCCATCAATATCTCATTTATTGAGGGTTTTTAGCACGAAGGGATGTTGAATTTTATTGAAGGTCTCCCAACAGGAGTTGACAGACACCTCATATAGGAGAGCTCCAGCTGGCAACAGGCTGGTGGCACTCTGGGATGAAGCTTCCAGAGGAAGGAGCAGGCACAATCTTTGCTGTTCTGAAGCCAGGCGATACCCAGGTGAACAGTGTCTGGAGTGGACCGCCAGCAAACTGCAGCAGACCTGCAGAAGAGGAACCTGACTGTTAGAAAAAAAACTAACAAACAGAAAGCAATGACATCAATACCAACATAAAGCCCCGTCCCTAACAGAAACCCCATCCAAAAGTCATCAGCCTCAAAGATCCAAGATAGATAAATCTACAAAGATGAGGAAAAACCAGTGTAAAATGCTGAAAATTACAAAAACCAGAATGCCTCTTCTCCTCCAAATGATCGCAACTCCTCTCCAGCAAGGGCACAAAACTGGATGGAGAATGAGCTGATGAATTGACAGAAGTAGTGTTCAGAAGGTGGGTAATAATAAACTCTTCTTAGCTAAAGGAGCATGTTCTAACCCAAGGTAAGGAAGCTAAGAAACCTGATAAAAGGTTATAAGAACTGCAAACTAGAATAACCAGTTTAGAGAAGAACATAAACGAGCTGATGGAGCTGAGAAACACAGCATGAGAACTTCATGAAGTATACACAGGTATCAATAGCTGAATTGATCAAGCAGAAGAGACCCACTTGAAGAGGCAGTCTGTCCCTTAGCAGAGCGGGTGCACTGTGCTGGAAGAATCCCTTTTGTTAGGATCAGCTGCTCCCTTCAGAGCTGGTGGGCAGGAATGATGAAATCCTCTGAAGCTTCACCCACAGCCACCCCTTCTCCCAGGTGCTCTGTCCCAGGGAGATGGGGGTTTGGTCTGTAAGCCCCTGACTGGGTATGTTACCTTTCCCTCAAAGATGCCCTGCCCAGTGAGGAGGAATCTACAGAAGCGATCTGGCCACAGCCACTTTGCCTCAGTATGGTGAGCTCTACCCAGTCCTCCGGGCCTCTGGGCCTCTTAGCACTGTCAGGAGAAAACCACCTATTGAAGCCTTAGTAGTGGCAGATGCCCCTCCCCCAACCAAGCTCAATTCTCCCAGGTTGACTTCAGATTGCCATGCTGGCAGGAAAATTTCAAGCCAGTGGTTCCGAGCTTGCTGGGCTCTGTAGGAGTGGGATCTGGAGACCTCTTGGCTCCCTAACTACAGCACCCTTTCCAGGGGAGTGAATTGTTCTGTCTTGCTGAGGTTCCAGGCCCCACTGGGGTATGAAAAAAAACTACTGGAGCTAGCTCAATGTCTGCCCAAACAGCTATCCAGTTATGTGCTTAAAACCCAGGGTCCTAGTGGTGTAGGCACATGAGGGAATTTCCTGATCTGCAGATTACAAAAAGCATGGGAAAAGCATAGTAACCCGGCTGGGTAGCACAGTCCCTCACAGCTTCCCTTGGCTAGGGGAGGGAGGTCCTTGGGCTCCTTGCACTTCCCGGGTGAAGTGATGCCCCACCCTGCTTCTGCTTGCTTTCTGTTGGTTGGATCACTGCCTAACCAATCTCAATGAGTTGAACTGGGTACCTCGATTGGAAATGCAGAAATCACCTGCCTTCTTCATTGGTCTCGCTGAGAGCTGCAGACTGGAGCTGTTCCTATTCAGCCATATCGGCCCCTCCTCTGATTGAAATGTTTCTGTCATTCTTAGTATATGAAAAAACCAGCATGGCTTCTCCTGTTGCCGCAAATGTGGTCAAACACAGTTGGCACGCTCAGGGTTAAAGGGAGGGAAAAAATGCACGGTGTAAAAAGGGAAGGAGACAGAACAGACCAAACTGTTACTAAACCAAACCATTATTTACCCTTTCTTTCTCAGAAAGTGAAAAGGAAAATGGGCTGGTATGTTTGGATAAATAGTAGCTGTGTTATACTCCATCTGGGAAAAAGATTATCAATGTTATAATTACATGTTTCGGTTGAAAGGAACGTTAACAGCCCTTTTTATTGTAAATGTGTCCACTTTTTCTCAGATGACTAAGAAGCAGTCTAACCTTCACCTCAACTCCTGACTCTATTGGGATCATTTGGGCAAAAACTTCCTATTCAAAGCCCTCAATTACTCCCACTGCAACTAAAAGTTTATAGAATTTCAGAGCTGGAACAAGTAAGAGTCATCCACCCAAGAAAAGGTGGATGGGGACACAACAGTAGGTCTAAGATGGGGTCAAGTATGTAGGATCTGAGCCCCAACTTTCTTCAAACAAAGAGCTGCCTTGTTTTTCTTCTCTGTTTTTGTCTTCCACCTGAGATTTCATTCATTTGCAAGAAGAGTTTTATGGGTTAAAAAAGACAAAAGCATATAAACAAGTTTAAAAGGCACCGATTTGGCCCACCATCTCACCCAATGCTACTGTATTCCTATCAAGCATTCATTTAGTCTATGCTGCAGGATCCCTGAGAAGGAGCCCTCCCTGTTTTATGAAGCAATTATTCTACTGAATTTTTTTTTTTTTTTTTGAGATGGAGTTTCACTGTTGTTGCCCAGGCTGGAATGCAATGGCGCATTCTCGGCTCCCCTCAACCTCTGCCTCCTGGGTTCAAGCGATTCTCCTGTCTCAGCCTCCCAAGTAGCTAGGATAACAGGCATGTGCCACCATGCCTGGCTAATTTTTTGTATTTTTAGTAGAGACGGTTTCACCATGTTAGCCAGGATGGTCTCGATCTCTTGACCTCGTGATCCACCTGCCTCAGCCTCCCAAAGTGCTGGAATTACAGGTGTGAGCCACCGCACCCAGCCTGTATTGAATTTTTAGAGAGCAGAAACTGCCAGAAAGCCTTTTTTTCTATTGAGGCCAGGGGCATCTTATACATTCTGATATATGGTGGTACCAAACTATTATCACCTATTCTTAGAGAAAATAGGGGAGGATGAAAAAGGACATACAAGAAAAATAGAATAAGAAAGAAGGATGGGAAAATTGTAACAAATAGGACAATTTCATGGTGTGTTTCCAAAATTTAGTCATTCTACCCTCATAATTTTTGCCATATTCAGCTATATTCATATTTTCTTGACAGCTTTATTGAACTATAATTGATAGTAAACTGCACATGTTTAAAATATACAGGTGGATGAGTTTTGATATGCATATACACATATGAAATCATTACCGTGATCAAAACATAAAATTGAACATATTAATCAATCCAAAAAGTTTCTTTGTTCCACTCTAGTGTCCCCCACACACTTCTCTCTGACTTTCATCTACAGACAGCAACAGGTCTTCTTTCTATCATTAAAGATTAGTTTGCATTTTCCAGAATTTTATAGTAATGGACACATTCAATATGCACTCTCTTTTCATACTATTCTGGTTTCATTAACCCAGTATAATTAATTTGAAATCCATCCATATTGTTGTGTTTTATCAGTAATGGATTTCTTTTTGTGACTGAGAAGTATTCCATTTATGGGTATATCACAATTTGTTTATCCATTTCCCTTGATGGACATTTGAGTTGTTTTCAATATTTGGCTGTTACATATAAAGCTTCTATGAATGTCTGTGCCAGTCTTTATATAAACACATGCTTTCATTTCTCTTGTATATGTAGCAGTGAAAGGGCTGAGTCATTGGGTTGTTGTATATTTAACTTTTTAGGAAACTGTAAAACTGTTTTTCAAATTGACTTACCATAGTTCATTCCCACCAGCAATGTATGAGAGTTCCAGTTGCTCCATACACTTGTCAACACTTGCTGTGGTCAGTCTTTTTAATTTTAGCCATTCTAATAGGTGTTTATTGGTATCTGATTCTGGTTTCAATTTTATTTCTCTAATAACTAATGGTGTTGAGCACGTTTACATGGGTTTATTTACTATCCATAATAACTTTTTTGGTAAAATGTCTCTTCAAATCTGTTGTCCAGTATTAAGTTGTTGGTTTTCTTATTGTTGAGTTTTTAATTTATTGTAAAGACAAGTCATTTAGCAGATATGATATTTTCAAGTATTTTACCCAGTTTGTGACTTAAAAAAAAATTCTCTTAAGAGCATCTTTCTAAGAGCAAAAGTTCTTAATTTTGATGAAGCTCGATTTATCTACTTTTTATCTTTTATGAGTTGTGCTTTTTGTGTTGTGTCTAAAAAGTCATCTTTGTCTAACCCAGAGCTACAAAGGAGAATCACTTGAACATATGTTTTCTTCTAGAAATTTTACAGTTTTGTGTTTTACATGTAAGTCTTTGATCCATGTTGAATGAACTTTTGTATCTAGGATGAGATCCAGATCAAAGGGTTTGTACATTTGTGCTCATAGATAGTAAGGTTTCCAAGAGCATTTGTTAAAAAAAAAAAAAACAAAAAAAAAACAACCTATACTTTCCTGACATTTTCCCCTCTCATCTTTTCGGCTGCTTCTTCCTCAGCCTGTGATCATTTTCTCCTGTGCATCACTGGTCAGGCTCCTTTATACACAGTCAATTATCTGGAACGCTGTCTGTGCAGCTCTTTTCTCTCTTAGTCTGCCCTGTGAACTCTAGCTATCTTGGCTTCCCTGGCTTCCCAAATCTGGCTCTGGAATCAGGAAAACCACCACTCAGCTCTGCCTGTATTCCCCAACACTGCATCATGATCTAGAAACATTCTCCAGGTAATAAGAGCTCAGGGAGTCACAGGGTCCACATCATTTGTTTCTCATCAATTACGGATCCTTATTCTTCATTGTCTTGTGCCCAAAACCTTAAGTACTATTGTTTCATATGTATATTCACATTTTTGACTCTTTCAGGCAGGAGGCTAAATTTGGTTCTTGTTACTTTTATCTTTTTGTATTTTTAGTAGAGAGGGGGTTTTGCCATCTTGGCCAGTCTGGTCTTGAACTCCTGACCTTGTGATCTACCTGCCTCAGCCTCCCAAAGTGCTAGGATTATGGGCATGAGCCACGGTGCCTGGCCTGTTGTACAGACTATTTTGTCACCCAGATATGAAGCCTAGTATACATTAATTATTTTTCCCAATCCTCTCCCTCCTCCCACCCCCCACCCTTTGCTAGGCCCCAGTGTCTGCTGCTCCCATCTATGGTTCCATGTGTAAACATCACATTATTAACATTTTTAAATGTATATTTGTGTATCCCCCCTAAATTATCATGCTTACTTTATGAGCACCCCTACCACAGATTGGGCAAAACCAGCTTTAAGTAC